CAGAATAGGATGTGAAGTTGTTTTTGGTTTTTAATCCACATGAGAATTCATATGCATTTTGCGGTATTTTCTCCAACATAACAGAATTTTCTACGGACTTCAATACATGTTTATTTGGGTTCTTGAAATACTAAATAGAGATATAAAACAAGATGAGGGGATTGTAGGAATAAAGATTTAAAACGAAACTTATAAGTTAGGGGCTTTTGCAGATGACTTGATGTTGGTTCTGGAAGATCCTTTAAAGGGAATTGAAGTATTAATGGGCAAATTAAAAGAATGTGGTGGAACAGCAGATTTCAAGATTAATAAATAGAAGATGAAGATGCTAACAAAATATTAAAATAGAAGATCAAACAAAATTGATGAATAAAATAGGTTTTAAGACTGAGAAGAAGATAAAATAGGGTCTGGATGGGGAACAAAAGCTTCAGCTGAACTGTGGCAAGACTAAGTGTCTTGGGTTTTGGGGCCTTCTGGTGCTAGGCCTATGCCACCCTTGGTACTGAATAGGGTTGCACTGCCCCAGACAGACCCTGTGCACAATCTGGGGGTTTTCCTGGACTCACAACTCCTGCTCGAACAGCAGGTGGCAGTTGTGGCTAGGAGGGCCTTTGCACACGTTCGTCTTGTGTGTCAGTTGCACCCGTTCCTAGATCAGAGGGACCTACTCACTGTCACTCAAGCCCTAGTCACCTCCTGTTTGGATTTCTGTAATGCACTCTAGATGGGGCTGCCCGTGAAGAGTATCCGGAAACTTCAGCTGGTGCAAAATGCAGCTGTGCAGGCAGTTATGTGTGCCCTTAGGGTGGTACATGTAACTCCTCTGCTCCATGAGCTGCAGTTGGTTGCCAGTTTGCTTCCGGGTCCAGTTCAAGGTGCTGATTTTGATCTTTAAAGCCTTTCATGGCATGGGCTGGGTTACTTGAGGGACCACGTCTCCCCGATCACATCTGCCCATCCCATCAGGTCTGGCAAAGAAGGCATGCTGCGGATCCCATCTGCCAGAGAATTACATTTGGTGGGTCCCAGGAGCGGGGCATTCTCTGCTGCGGCACCTGCCTTGTAGAGTCTTCTCCCCCCAGAAGTGAGATTAGCTCCATCCCTCTTGACATTCCGCAGGTCCCTCAAGACCTGGATATATGATCAGCCCTGGGGCTCCCAGGGGACTGGGGAGATGTCACGATGGCTCCCGTATTAACCTTATCCCCTCCTGTTTTCTGTGCTGTTTTGCCGGCTTTTATATATATATTTTATTTGTAATGGTTTTTAGGTATTTATTCTTTTTAACTGTTGCACGCTACTCAGAGTCACTTTGTGTAAGATGGAAGGCAATATAAATATGATAAACAAAATAAAAATAAAATATTTGGATATCACTATGACAAATATAAATTGTATGTTATTTCAAAGTAACATTAATAAAAATGAAGGTCTTGCCTAGAATGATGGTTTTGTTTCAGACAATGCCTGTTTTGACAACTGATGCACCATTTAAACAGTGGCAGAAGGATATATCCAAATTTGTGTGGAAGGGGGAAAAAACATGAGTTAAATATAAGAT